AAAATACAATATATTTATTCCATCATTTTTAAAATGTACTTTTATTTTTTTGTATTTTGTAACTGCCTTCTATTTACTTTACCCACACATTTCCTCTGCTATTTGTCTTGATGTTGTCTGTATGTTTCTTCTGCATGTTTATATGTAAATCATAACAACATTTTTGGTTGGAAGAAGTCTGTCACCAAATGGCATCTTAAAAAGCAGATAGTTTCTGTCAGTTTTGAGACATTTGTGTAGCGGAGACTTATGGAGTTCACCATTGTTATCTCTCAAACAAGCTTGACAGAAGACTTGACGCTAATCTCAGTAAATGGCATATAGTGTTTTGTGACATCCTTGCTGTGGTCATTTGGTTTAGCATCCTCCATTTCTTTTGTTTTTGTATTTTGTCTCGGTTACGCTAGCCAGGCGTGTGGTGTTTTGTGTAGGCCTATATTTGTGTACTGCCTGCAACGATCGCGCTATTGACAGCTGTATTTACATGAATCCTGAGCGTTTGGTAGATTTAGCTAGTAAGCAGTGTCAGGATGAAATGCAGCGCAGAGATTGAGGAGTGGCTGCTGACAAATAGATTATGTCACGGAGAACAATACAGCGCTGCTGGTGTGGCATGAGGCTGCCTGGAAATTATACAGCATGCAGACGTGTAACGATACAGAAGGACAGGAACAACGCCTCACAATCCGGGACAGTCCCCATACAAGACGGGATCAGTGTCAAGAAAAATTTGACTCACAATTATTGTGTTTTGGTCACCATCTCCATGGCCTGCAGCTGTGCTCCAATGAGCCATTTTATTGTGTTTATGCAAATGTTTTGAGGGCCAATTTTCAAAACTGACACTTTAACTTTTAAAAGTGTCATTTTAGTTTGCTAATCTCCCATTAGCTTAGAGAACCCCATTCTTCAAGTGTAGGACTTCAGTTTCAAATGTTCTTACTTCCTGAGAACTTTGGAACACCTTTTAAACTTTTAAACACCTTAAAATCAGAATGTTGGTTCAATAACAACAACTGATTTAAAATGAATGAATTCTAAATATTTCAAACAAATAGCATGCACAAGAACAAATCACATGTTAAGGAAACATTTCACATGCATCATAGCACAACAGAAAAAAATAAATCAATAAAAATAAATAAAAGAGAGGGCACATTAGTTGCATTAATTATACTATATAATGATTTAAAATTTTAATTTACATAAGACATTATAATAGAATTATATTAAAATGCACATGGCGATTAAGCACCATTAGGCATTCTTTTTATATAAAAAATGTTAAAGGAAGAGCATATTGCACCTGTTATAGATGCCTTAACTGTTTTAGATTGTGACATATGTGCATCTATGCACATTTTAACCTCTTCTCAAGTACTTTAAAACACTAAATATGCATTTATGCATATGGAATTTACACAAAAATAAAATGAATAATGAAACCAGGATCATTTGAGTAATGATAATTTATAGGATAAATGAAATGCTTTTAAAATATTGTCAGCGATAAAACATTTTTCCAAAAACACTGGGCATCTTGACAGGACCAAAACAAATGGGAAATTGTTTCAGTGGAACTTTTGCAGAAAAAAAAAATCACTTTTAAATATTTGTAGAAATCGTCTGGTAGGATGAATTATTTTGAATGAGATTTCCTTATCTTATTTGTAAGGAGGAAATATTAAGGCAACGTCCAAACTTGAGCCCAGTTTACATTATTAAAGAGATAAAAATCACAGAAGGAGCGGTTATACAAGAGGGAACAAGCATCTAATTTTATAGTGTGTAGTAAATGCGGCTGATTCGTAGAGAAAAATGAAATGCATTATTCCCAGATGAGGGAGCTCTCTGCAGAGTTGTGATTTTCTGCTTCCCTCACACTTGAAACCCATTCATTCGCTATTACAAGCAGGATAAACAGACTCTCTGGTTCACTCGTTCTTGCCTTTCTCTGGACAGCAGTTCTGAGAGTTTCATATTGTTACTGGATATTAACATCCAGTTAAATATATATTAAAGGGATAGTTCATCCAAAAATGAAAATGTGATGTTTATCTTGTCCAACTGTCTTTGGGCGTGTGCACGGCATCCGGTGCGTGAGGTGTGTACGCGCTCTGGCGTGGTTTACGCAAGCGCCGGAAGTGATCTCTCGCGCGTATACGTCACTCATTGTTTACACAGTGCAGTCATTGTAGGTACGACGGCTAATCAAAATGGTACTTACTTGCGCTTATCCGGATTGTTCAAACCGACTTAAAACTAAAAGATTACGTTCTCTCGCGCAAACTCATTCGGGAGTGGTGACTTTCCACGTATTCCCAATTTCTGAGCCTGCTCGCCTGAAGTTATGGTTGATTGCTCTTTGGCTGGATATCAACACACCCATTAACGTAAACTACGCCAGAGTGCGTACACACCTCACGCACCGGATGCCGTGCGCGCGCTCAAGGCAGTTGGACATAGTGGTGTATTAGAGGTAAAATATGATATAAATACTGTTCGGTTTCTCGCACAAACCGATTGTTTCGTGTCTTAGGACATCAATGTGTCGTCACGAGCCGTAGGGTTTAATTTGGATTTGTCTGTGCATGTTTTTTTTTACTCTCATAGATTTTGTTACCATTGCCATGCATTATACGACTGATAGACTGCAACGGTGAAAGTTAAAAATCATCATATGTGTTCTACTGAAGAAACAAATTCACCTACATCTTGGATGCCCTGGGGGTAAGCAGATAAACATCAAATTTTCATTTTTGGATGAACTATCCCTTTAACAGATATTAACATCCATAAATCCAGCCAGTTCTATCAAACCTCTACAATTAATCCAGAACGTGGCAGCAAGATGAATTTTTAATGAGCCGAAAAGAACGCACGTCACACCTCTATTTATCAATCTGTACTGGCTACCAAGCATTAATGTTTGCCTACAAAACCACCACTGGCTCTGCACCCCTTTACCTAAATTCATTACTTCAGAGTTATGTGCCTCTAGAAGCTTGCGTTCTGCAAGTGAACGTCGCTTTATTGTTCATCCCAAAGAGCCACAAAATCACTTTCACAGACTTTTTCATTAACTGTTCCCTCGTGGTGGAATAACCTGCCCAACTCAATCCCAGCAGCTGAGTCCTTAACCATCTTCAAGAAACGACTAAAAACACATCTCTTCCATCTTTATTTGACCCTCTAACTCTAGCACTCTCTATTCTAATTCCATTCTTTATAAAAAAAAAAAACATGTCCCTTTTAGACATTTGCTTGTTTTCTTAAAAACAAAAACAAAATCTATCTTTCTATTCTATCTGTTTTCTTTTTATTTATTATATAATTTGGATCCTGCAGCATCTTCTGTCTCCTCTGAGTTTCTATTTGTGGTAGGACACAAACAATCGCTGGCCTCTCTCAACATGAAGGCACGACATATTAAATCTCAGCAACACCAACATCATAGAGATCAAGAAAGCAAATTGTCCACGAGCGTATCTGATAGAGCGGCCTTATGTCTCACATGGGACAAAGAGAATTAAGTAAGTACGTATAGAACAGAAATAGAATTATCTGAAATATCTGATAGAAACCCGAAAGATGATAAAAACAATAATTGACTTTTAATAGGAATCATTGCATCAACAATAATGAATGAAATGAAGTTGTTGGACACATGCTTAATTAAGAATTGATGCCATACAAATATGTTTTGTAAAATAGAAATGTGACCCTGGAGCACAGGTATATGTAGCAATAGCCAAAATGCTAATGCATGGATCAAATTATCAATTTTTCTTTTATGCCAAAAATCATTAGAATATTAATTAAAGGTCATGTTCCATGAAGATATTTTGTAAATTTCCTACCATAAGTATATCAAAACTTAGTTTTTGATTAGTAATATGCATTGCTAAGGACTTCATTTGGACAACTTTAAAGGTGATTTTCTCAATATTTTGAATTTTTTTTTTTTTTTTTGCACCCTCAGATTCCAGATTTTCAAATAGTTGTATCTCGGCCAAATATTGTCCTATCATAACAAAACATACATCAATGGAAAGCTTATTGTATAGTCATGTTTGGTGTGAGCACATGGCTTCTGTCATGTTTGTTTCTATGTGCCATATGGTCTTCCTGGATTGTGTTTTCCTCTACATGGAGGTCTTTCTTCTTGTTTTTGGTTTATTTTTTTCTGTTTTATCCAAGTCATATAATTACATATGGTATGTAGAGTATATATGGATATACAGTATGCAAAAGAAGAGAGTAGGCCTACACCCCTGTGTAATATCACTTAAGTGTCAAATGATTCAGATTTGTATCACTTTACAGGAGTGGTTTTCACCCAGTAACAGATAAGACTTTCTTATATTACAAATACAGGTCCTATAGAAACTCAACAGAGTACACTTCTAGCTCCATCGTCCTGAAGTCAGTGTTGTTGTTGTTGTTGTTTTTAATACCTGAAATAAAGTCTGTGGTTAATACAAGCTCAAGACATTTTTCATGTTTTATTTCACAACATAAAGCACATCAGCAATTCTGGACTTCTGCATTTTTCAGTTCCTCTGGCAATTCTTTTCCATGATGCAGTAAAGCAGAGATATCCTAAACTGAGGAAGCTCTGGTCATTTTATAATCATATGAATTTATTGGAAGATTAGGTGTACACATTTTAGTTTCAATTAGTACTGGTTTTCTAACAAATCACAGGTGCATTCATTGTTATTGGGCTTTTAATTTGGGGCATGTATATTCACAATACACAATTTGTTTTTTAATACTAACATTTGATATGCATTGCATGGCTTGTTGTAATAAAAACAATATTGCAGACTAAAATGCAGCCATATTCATGATGTTAAAAAAGGAAGTAAGAAACGATTTATTTTTTTTATTTTTTTTTTGTAATACACAGGTATCTGTTTCACACTCCAGCTCAGTAGACAGCGGTATTGCACCAGATAAGTGTATCCAGAGAAGAAGACCTCAACACTAACCTACCATAGTCCAGCAGGCGGAGGTATTTACATTCCGAGACTGAAATCAACAACAAGAAGATCAGTGAAGAAGCCAACGCGTGGGGTTTACCGAATGAACAGTGCTCAATGGCGGGGCTCGAGTTGCTGTCGGATCAGGGGTACCGACTCGATGGACGGAAAGCGTCCGAGCTGCGCAAGGTTCAGGCCCGCACGAGCGTGTTCGCGCAGGCGGACGGATCCGCGTATCTGGAGCAGGGCAACACTAAAGCACTGGCCGTGGTGTATGGACCGCATGAGGTCAGGCCTTATATCAGCGCAGCATGCGTGTCAGATAGACCACTAATAATATATAACAATGTATTTAAGCAATGCGGGTTGTGTGTTTTATATAACGGGGCCTGAACAGCATTGTTTTAAACACAACTGTAAACTTTTCAGAAAGCTTCTCTGTCGTAACGCAGTAATTAATTAAAAAGCACGCATCTTACCTTGCGGGTGATGCATTCAGGAAAAAAGACAAAAAAAACAAACAATTACATTTTCATCAATTACATCTGCTGAAAGCAGGTACGATGTTAGGCTCATTTTGAGCACAAAACGCAAAATTGGCCTAATTCTAAATAGTAAAGTTCCATTTTCAAAAGCACAAACATAAAATAACGTTTAATTGCTGTATACAATACTATTAAAAGTTTGTGATAAATGAAAATGTTAACACGTGTTTAAATACAGTTTTATTTATCATATGTACTTCTATTTCTTTAGCTTGTAATGTGTTTTTTATACTCATAATCTTGTTGTAATACTGTTTGAATCTAGTATTTTCAATGGTTGCTATCTACTATTTTTCATTATGTTATTTGACATTATAATAACATTGAATTAGTGATGAATTATTAAAAGTACACATAATCCACAATTAAATGAAAAAAAATTAAAAATCTGTTGTCCCTAAGCGAGATTTCAATGATATTTTGAGCACAAAACTAGTAGTAAATATCCTCTGGTCACCTAGTTATGACGGGAGAACTTTTTGAAGATTCGAAGATTGTATCAACCCGCAAACTACTGCAACAAGATTCAAAACTCCTTGAAGCAGTGTTTCGAACACACCATCTCAGTTATTACGTTTTTGTCATTTCCTGTTACCAAACAGCTAGGATTTAAGTCTTTCTCATTTTCAGTATTATCCAAGACAATGTGTCAGCAGTTACTCCAGACAGACACCATTAAGAAACCTGCAGTTTGTGTCATTTATCCATACTGTTCTCACACTTGATCTTTCTGGCTCCCTGTAGACGCGAGGCTCTCGCAGTAAATCTCTGCACGATCGTGCAGTCATTAACTGTCAGTACAGCATGGCCACGTTCAGCACGGCGGAGAGGAAGAGACGTCCGCACGGAGACCGCAAGTCCAGCGAGATGAGCCTTCATCTCAAACAGACTTTTGAGGCTGCGGTGCTCACCGAGCTCTACCCACGATCACAAATCGACATCTACGTTAAGGTAAGAGCACTCAACTTAAACTAAATGTAATCTAGAAGTGCTAATTGTGTGTGCTAACCTGTAGTAACAGGTTATAAAAGTATTATATGTGACCCTGGACCACAAAACCAGTCTTAAGTGTCAATTTTTCAAAATTGAGTGTTAAATATAGCCACATGGGCTCAGGAGTACTTCAGAAAACTGCTGTCACTTAACACAGTCTGCTGCTGCATCAAGAAATGCAACTTGAATATCTGTTACTCTAGGAGAAAGAGTCACTTAAAATACAAAGTTCAGATCATATCGCATTTGATTGGCTATAATATCCACAATCCCTGTCTCTGGTCCTGTGCTGTAGATTCTGCAGGCAGACGGTGGGAACTACAGTGCTTGTGTGAATGCTGCTACTCTGGCTCTGGTGGACGCTGGCATTCCCATGCGTGACTATGTGTGCGCCTGCACTGCCGGCTTTGTGGAGGACACGCCGCTGGCCGATCTGTGTCACGCAGAGGAGAGCGGAGGAGGAACGTCACTGGCGCTGGCCCTGCTGCCCCGCAGCGGAAACATCGCCCTGCTGCAGATGGACGCCCGGCTCCACCAGGACCACTTGGATGCTTTAATAGAGGCAGCCATGACGGCGTGTAAAGGTCTCAGCAAAGTCCTGGATGGCGTTGTGCGTCAGCATCTAGAAGAGGTTTCAGTTCTGATCAGAGATTGAGGAGAGCAGCTTTGATGGTAAAACATCCTGTTAACTCCCTGAAACGGACTGTGTTATCATTTGTAGAATGAAGCCTACATTTGGCTGAAGTGACAGATTTGAACAACAACAAAAAAATATTGATGAAACGCCATGTATAATTTCGACAAAAAATTGTTTTGTAACAATAAAGATCTCCATTTTGAAAGAGTTTTCATGAAAAGATTTTGGTATGATTTTCCTTTTGTGTACCTCTGTACAGTAACATTTTTCCCCCCCACTAATAGATTATAAACATTTATTCCACATCTGTTTTGTACTGCCAGTAGTTTGTGCAAAAAAAACATTGTGAATAAACACATCCTAATCAGGCTTTATCAAACCAGGGAATTTAAGGGGGTTTGTGAGTTCATGAAAAGCAAGGAAAAATTGAAATCGCATCATATGACCCCTTTAAGTGATTTTTACATTGTGCCATATCTGAACTTTTGCATCACATTTGCATAATTTATAAAGTACAATTATAATTTAAAGAAAGCACCGTAACACATATGCTGAATTCTTTTCAAATAAATTAAGCTAATTTTAATAGCAATGTATATTTTGTCAATTCTCAAAGTAAAAATAATGAATTGAACATCCCGAAAGAGACAATGAACAGTGTGTGTAAATGATAAAGACACTTAGGTATGTCCCAAATCGCGTACTTATGCACTATTCTATGACGTTCTGTAGTATAAATAGTGCGAGTAGTGCGTTCACACTGAAAATTCCAAAAAGAAAAAGTGCACTTTAAATACCCGGATGATGCACTTAAATAACTGAGAAAATGAAGTGTGGAATGTTGGACACTTCATTTATTTATTTTTTTATTGCAAACAATTCAGAGATGACATTAATGAATAACAACTTTGCATGCATTACACATAATGTATCAACAATACATCCAATGTCATATGAACATATGGAAAAAAAAGAAGTTGACAATGACTGTTAAAAGAGAAAGATGCATTTAAATAGCTTTTTTATGAACATAAAGAAAGGCAGGAACAGAACAAATAAAGAAAAGAGGATTTAAAAAAAAAACTAAGAATGGCCTTCTCAGCTGCCATAGTTGCAACTCTTGCGTCATCAGAACAGAGTGT